GTATCCAATAGTGAAACAATTTTCTTACACTTTATCTGTCTAAAAATGTGCCGGAAGATGCCCCTTTGGGACTCACCGTTTTTGATAAGAAAATAGTTTTGTATAAAGATGGCAATGGGCAGTTTCAATGTTATGAAGATCGATGCCCCCATAGGTAAATAACTCAGTTCAGTTTCAGTTTCAGTTCCAATTCTTGTTCTGGTTTTTATTTTCATTTGTATTGGTTTTCATGTGTGAATATATGTCCCTTCTACCCTTCTATAATATTTAAACACTTGGGGCATGTTTCTGAGTTTTTCTTTTTCCACCGGTTTTGACCCTTTTTTGTGGCACTGTTTATGAGAGGTTAAATGAATCTGTGGAGTGTAATTTTGATGGTATTTCTCAACCCAGCAAACAAGTAGGCCTTTAGATTAGGTGGTTTAAGTTTAATAGAGCATTCGTGTATACGAAATTCTAGGGATCGAGTTTCACTATGACGTATTTATGAAAATAGTGCTCATATTAGACCTTAGATGAAAGATGAACCTCTGACCAACGCATCATGGAAGCTAATGAATACAAAAATCTAAATTAGTAAATATGTATATTTTAATAGTTTAAACTTTTAGACGAGATTGTATAACATTTTAGATTTCATGAAAGTGTTGCAATGGCCATAATTAACATTGGAGCCTTACCATATTTTTCATTTAGGTTGGCAAAACTCTCTAAAGGTTAATTGATTGATGGTAAACTAGAATGTTTGTACCATGGTTGGCAATTTGAAGGCAATGGCAGATGTTTCACAATACCCCAGCTATGTATGTATTGAATTTGTCTGCTCAAATTCATCAGGCTCGAACTCATAATTTCCAGCACGTCAAGGTTTATTGAATCATAAACTGTAGTTTAACTTTCAAACTTTTTATGGGATCAAGAAATGATTCCTGTCTAATTTTCTTTCTCAAAATATACAGGTTCCTGCAGGGCCAAAAATTCCAGAATCAACTTGTGCAAAATCATTTGAAGCGAAGGACTCCCAAGGAGTTATATGGATATGGATGTCTCATAAAAAGACACCAAGTACCAAGAAAATACCCTTCTTTGAAAATTCTGAGAGAGAAGGGTTTCGAGATATTTTTACAACCCATGAACTCCAGTATGATCACTCAATCTTTTTGAGAAAACCTGATGGATCCTGCCCATATTCCTATTTCACATGATAGCTAGGACTGGTAAAAATCCTTTGAAAGTTTTGTTTAATGTAGTTTCTTTAAATCTCAGATGCTTCTGGTAAAAATCAAAGGTACAAGAAAAGAAGTAGAACTAAATCCGATGGCTCGGAAAGTCTTTCCGATATTGATGATTCTGAGGTATATTCTTTGTTGTTTCACATGCATTATTCGTTTAAAGTCTGGCAATGGTTCTTGCAAATGTTTTTTTTATGGGTAATGCTACATGTACACACACACTTTTACACAATCTTTTACACCTCTCTCACATGGAGGGGGGTCCACGATTATTTTATTATGTGTGGGCCCCCTTCCATGTGAGAGAGGTGTAAAAGATTGTGTAAAAAATTGTGTACACTTAGCATTATTCTTAAATTAATCCCATACTGCACTATTTTCACCATTCACAGCGACACTTATTCCAATAATCACATCATAGCTGGCACATATATTAAACTCACACAAGCACACAAAGCAATAATTAAAATTTAATGCTAAAAGATAAAAAATTGANAAAAGGAGATGCATTTGAAAAGGATGTTATGGGAAGCCATGAACATAGAACACGTAAAGGTTAGACCTTGTTTACTAATACTCTTCAAGATTTGCCTTGCATTTGGAGTAATTTGGCAGAATTTCTAGCCTATAATTGGTTTTGTTGAGGTTATTGGCATATCTTACCAACCTTCACCTCAATGTTTTCTTATTTTTCATCTTGTTTTAGCTCAATTAAGGCGTGCTTTGTCTTCTTTTACCTTGTTCCTCTGTACGGGCATATTTTTCCCATTTCCTTTGCTTTTTTGTCTGTTTGTTATTTTATTTTCTTTCTATTCTACAAGGAGGTCAGGGTGGAGTTATTTGGATGCTCCTCTCTCTGAGTGTGTGTTTTTGTGACATGTTTGGATACAATCTATAGATTCTACGCTTCTAGCTTTCAGGTAGGCGCTAGCCTCTAGAATTATGCTATACATATTTTTCCTGCTGTCATGATGTTTGTTCTTTTTTGTTGTTGAATTGTTACGGGAAAATGTATTATAATTTGTGATAAAATATAACGAGTTCCGATTGTGAAAAATAGTCTCTGTGAGATTATAACATTCTCTTCTTTAAGTCACAATAAGCTATCAATATCTCTTTTAAACCATGGAAATTAATGCATCCCATTTCTTGGTGGTGATTTTGGCTTAGATCCTCCGTATTTATTAATAACATTTAAAGAAAAAATAAGACCAGATTGATTTGATTGGAGAATTTGTTTTTAGAAATATCTAGTTTTGCCTCCAAAACTATTTTTTTAAAAGAATTAATTCTTAGCTAATTCCAACTTATGAAATTATGTTCAATGAGGCAGTGATCGCAGCACCATTGTCTTAACTAAATTAATTGAAGAGAGTGAAACCAGATTTCTTCAGAAATAAGTTATCTTGCAGCACTATGTGAGTAAAATTCTCCCAGAAGCTAGTCTGCACGATTCCATATTATTTTCTTCCCTCCACCTCGCATTCTCCGTGTTTACATTTTCTGTCGATGCATGTAACTTAAGTATAGCGATTCAGGTCTCCTATATACTTGTTATACGAAATGTAATGAGAAAACCTGTTTTAAGCATTTTAGTAGTCTTCTAAACATTTCTTAGTTGATGTTGAAATCTCGACATGGCCTTACATTTTATCAATATTGATGTGAACATTGACAGCTTATGATATTACGACATGTCTTTAGGTTTCAACATTCCTTTTCATACGTTTCCATCACTATAAGATTTGAACTTTTGAAATGGGGTTAAATTTGACTGCTGTTTAAATTGATGATAAATTTCAGGTTAAGAAACAAAAACCAGCAACTGAAACAAAGAAAACTACCTCTGTAGGGAAAGCTGTTAAAACCACCAAGAAATTGGAACAGCAGGTAATAAATTAGGCTTCAATGAGAGTTTTTGTTTGTTCTCTATCTGTTTGCTACAGTACGATGTAAAACACGACATGGCTGACAGTAATAGGGTAATTGTGGTCTTTCGTCATTTGTTTAGTTCTTGTTGCATGACGATTTCATTCCCTACAAGCTGGAGTATGTATTGTATTTTACATGTGATGTCGACATGAATCCTGTTTTTGCAGATGAGAAGTTCGAGAATCAATTATGATGCTTTGAGACTCTTAAATGATGATACGGTATGTATTTTATACTCTTGTTTTAGCTTCATTTTCATTGAGTCGGAAAGTGTGAAACAAAAATGTAACTAGATTAAGAATCCCTTGCATTTCTTGTTTGCCATAATTTTGTTAATTGTCATTTCAGGAACAAGGTTCTGGAACGGCAAACAATATCGATTTGAAACTCGATTCTTGGAGAAATGACGATTCACAGAACGAAAACACTACCACACTCAAAATGCAAAGATCTGAAGAGGGCAATTATGATGAAGACGAAGATCAACAGCAGATCACTTGTGGCGAAGATGATGTTATGTTCGGTCATCAATGTCTTACGGGTACGAAGATGAATATATCGAAATTTTGATTTCGAGGATTAGTTTAGAGATAGCAGGGAATCATAGTTGGTCTTTGAACAACATCAAGCAGTTAAATAATTTTGAGGCAGTATTTTGTATATTTCTATAGAAAATCATATATAAATACCCCTCATCATTACCCTTTATAGACAAGGAAAAAATAAATAAAAATGGTAGCTACAGCCCAAGTACATAGGTCCACGATGTCAAAAATGTTTAGTCATATCGTATATTGCTCGTATCCAATTTTAGATGCCTTGCCACTTATCTCTTGAAATTATTGCAATACTTAAGGGGTCATCACAAATATTTGCCCTAGTTTGATTTTCATTATTTAATAAATAAATTTTTATTTATCTTCTTTTTGATCACACATTTTTCAATAAAATAATATTACACGTAAATTTATAACTTTTTTCAACGACATATTCCCCATTAATCTATTATTTCAAAATGTATTCTTAAGAAAAATGCAGCTCAAATGGGCCAGTAAAACCAACCATTCATCAAGGGATGTCGCTTTTCAGATTGTGTAAAATATTAATTGGTGGGGTTGGGTGGATTAAAGGTTAGGCGTGAATCGGGGAAGATGAATATTTTTATTAATTGATAGACTTTTCGATGAAAAATTAGTAGAAGTTCTTCCTACGAACATTTATTGTAAATTTGTGATCTTCGTTGCATATTTTAAAAGGTTTGGAATTTTTAGTATAAATTATCCTTTATTATTATTATTATTAATACAACATTAAAAGATCATTTAAGTTTTTTTTTAAGAATTGATCAAATTATGGTCAAATGTTGACTTTCGGCCAAAATTGACGAATATCTGGATGAAAATGGTCCAATGGTCCTTTCGTAATGCTAATTCAAAATGTTTGGGATCAATGATACTACAAATAAAACTTTCAAATAAAACTTGAAGATTGGTTTAAAAAAATTTGAACCACACAATTATTCCGTGAAAATATCATTAGATAAAAATAAAAATTTTAGATTAGATTTTAATAAAAGTTATGAATTTGTGGTTAAAATTAAATGTTAATTTTAACTTAAATTTAATCCCCCATCAAACAAGGATTGAAGCAGGTCTACGTATTTTTCATTCCACCCTCCCACATTGCGTTGTCTCCTTTGAAAATATCCCACCATTTTCATCATTTCAATTTTCAAATGCATTAACCAACCCCCTTCCTCTCGTGCCTCGTCCTCATCCTCATCCTCCGCCATCAACCTCCCATGGCCTCCCTGCCGCAACCACTTTTTTCTAACCATATAATCTCATACCCCTTTTCCATTCCCAAAATAACTAACCTAAAATCAAAAACTCCAAATTCAATTGTGCTTGGATCTCTACGCAAAAGGTTAAAGTTCGACTTCGATCCTAGTAAAGTATTTATCAGGTTAAGTTCTTTTGGGGCCATCTGATATAGAAGAAGTGAAGGGGCAAAAGGAAGTGGTGGTGTATTATGACTGGACAGAAGAATGGCATCCACTTTATCTGACTAAAAATGTGCCAGAAGATGCCCCTTTGGGACTCACTGTTTTTGACCAGAAAGTAGTTTTTGTATAGAGATGGCAATGGGGGAGTTTCAGTGTTATGAAGATCGATGCCCCCATAGGTAAATAACTCAGTCCAGTTCCAGTTCCAATTCTTGTTCTGGTTTTTATTTCCAATTTGTGTTGGGTTCCATGTGTAAATAAATGTCTCTTTAATAATATTTAAACACTTGGGGGCCTGTTTCTGATTTTTTCTTTTTCCACCAGTTTTAACCCTTTTTTGTGGCACCGTTTGAGTGGTTAAAAAACAAATCAGTGTAGCGTAATTTTGATCGTATTTCTCAACCCAGCAAATTCGGTGGTGTAAATTTGATTGTATTTCTCAACACAGCAGAAAAGTAGGCCCTTAGATTAAGTGGTTTAAGTTTAATAGTGTTCGAGTGTATGAAGTTTTAGGGATCAAGTTTCACTATGACCTATTTACGAAAATCGTGCTCTTATTAGACCTCAGATGAAAAATGAACCTCTTACCAACACATGATGGAAGCTAATGAATACAAAATCTAAATTAGTAAATATGTATATTTTAAGCGGTTTAAATTTTTATTTACGTTGTCTAACATTTTAAATTTCATGAAAGTGTTGCAATGGCAGTAATTAACATTGGAGCTTCACCATATTTTCATTTAGGTTGGCAAAACTCTCTGAAGGCCGATTGATGGTAAACTAGAATGTTTGTACCATGGTTGGCAATTTGAAGGCAATGGCAAATGTGTCACGATACCCCAGGTATGTATGTCAAGGTTTAATGAATCATAAACTGCTGCTTAACTTTCATATTTTTATGGGATCAAGAAATAATGCCTGTCTAATTTTCTTTCTCAAAATATACAGCTTCCTGCATGGACCAAAAATTCCAGAATCAGCTTGTGCAGTTTATTGAAGCATAAACTGTAGTTTAACTTTAAAACTTTTATGGGATCTATAATTGATTCTTGTCTAATTTTCTTTCTCAAATTATGCAGCTTCCTGCAGGGTCAAAAATTCCAGAATCAGCTTGTGCAAAATCATATGAAGTGAGGGACTCCCAAGGACTTATATGGATATGGACGTCTCATAAAAAGACACCAAGTACCAAGAAAATATCCTTCTTTGAAAATTTTGAGAGAGAAGGATTTTGAGATATTTCAACAACCCATGAACTCCAGTATGGTCACTCAATCCTTTTAGAAAACCTGATGGATCCTGCCCATATTCCTATTTCACATGATAGCTAGGACTGGTATTACTGAAAAATGGGAAGATGCAGCAGCATTATTTTTCAAGGTGACTGAGAATGAATTGAGGATTTGCATGCATTTGGGGTAGTGAAAAAGACCACTTTACTCCAAACTACATACTGTACTTTTTGCATTCTGAAGCACCTTGTGTGATTCAGAACCACCGAGAAATTGTTGATAAGAGTGGCGAGAAGCATTACCTTTCAGGGATATTCCTTTGTTGACCAGCAGGACATGGAAAAGCCATGGTTATTTTGAGGTTTGGAAGCACAATGAAACCATCATGGCTGTTTAAACTCATTCCAGAATGGTATTGCAAACATCTAAAAGTAAAATCTATTAGCAAAGCTGTAAACTTATTGTTCAAATTATGTGTTTAATACACCTCTAGCATGCACCCCATATTTATGCTTTTATCAACGGCTTGACACATGAAATTTTTTTATATATAAATATGTGACCGTGAGTCTTAGCCTATATTTAGCTCATGTTTATAAATTGTTTATAAACACTTTATTCATACATATTGAGGGATCCACAAGTGTGCTACCTATTTATTCACCACTCGTTCTATTGATTTATAATTTAAACCGTTTAAAAGCACTTCCTAAACAAGCTTTTACTTCTCTTTGCTTTTGTACTTAATAAACTAACTTGTCTAAAACGTTAGTTAGAGATGTGTGACAAACTTATTTGTTTAAATTATGTCTTTAAGTTGTCCTGGCATCAGAACGCGTGTAAGGTTTTCGACGAAGACATGGGTTTCCTTTGCTCCCAGAATCAGACTCTGATGAAAGAAAAAGTCCCCGCAAGAGAACTCTATATCAATTTGAAGTCATCTGACACATGGGTGGTTGAGTATGGGAAATGGATGGACAAAGTTGGGCATGGAATGCCTTACAATTTTGGACACAACACAATTTCCTTGCCAAAAGATCCGGCCGTAATTGAACATTCTCCAGCAGGTTTTGCTGCAACTATCTCAGCTTCTCAACCTGCAAAAGGTGGGATCGGAAGTATGCATGCGCCGAATTTCAGAAATTGGTATTTCTTGAACCTCTCGATCATCTAACAGCTCAAGGGAACACTTATTTTTATATATATATCTTTAATATGCTAACAAGTGTCCAGCTGAATTCATTATTGTATCAAAAGCTAAAAACGAGTGGTGTCAAGACTTGAACATAGGACCTTTTGCTCTAATAGAATCCTAAAAACAAATTTATTTATAATTATGTATTAATAGATATTTCCGGCATGTTATTCACTGCAAGGGATGCCAGAGTGCCGTGAACGATTTTCAAGCTTGGAAAAATTCCCTCACAGTGGCTGCACTTGTATCAACAGCATTTGCAATTCTTGTATCCGGAAGGCAGTGGAAAGCTGCCCTTTTGTTTATTACAGCATCGTGCTTGTTTGTTCGACTGCAATTGCGATGAAAACAACAAACTTTGTTAGGAAGCACAGAAGGTTGTCAGCAATAGCAAGGCTCGTTAAATAAAAGTCAGATGTTTGAACATTCTTCACACGTTTTCTTGTGAAGTTGAGTAGTACTCGACAGATCATGTCTAATTTAGTCGAGTACTCTAAATGCACTTAGATCTTAAAAATTACCTTGTGTATATGAACAAATATTACCCAAATACTTTGAAATTGTTCCTATAGATTACTTCTAATTGAATAAACATTGTGTTCTGCAGTATTTCTCCTTAAAATTGGTTCAATATTCATTCAGTATTCTTATTGTAAATCAACTAACATTATCGATCGTGCTTGTGTCTTGCTTACCTTCGCTACCTCGCTTTTGTAACGGTCTGTTATTGTGGCAAACTTTCTTGTCATGCTATTATTTGCAATGGTACATAAACTAGATAAACTGTCACAAATGTTTTTTGCAATTGTATTACACACTTCAGGGACATTGTTGGACAAGTATAGCGAGAATGCCTGTGAATGTATCTTGGGATGCAACGGAGCGTTGAATATTCGTAGGGAGAATGTGTAGATTTGGGGAAAAGAACATGTGCATGCTAAATATGTGACTTATCGAGGATTCCTTGTCCACATGCTATTGCTTGCATACTCCGTAAAGGTCATGAGCATGTTATAAATCTCATCAACGTCAAGACGCTCTCGTCTTAAAATTGGATAACTTATAATTCACTACACTACAATTGGGCAAATTCTGTCTGCTGCTTATATGTTCAGCGACTGATAACTTTAATCAATTAATGCCTCTTGCATAATTTCTGTAATAGTCGAGAAAGCGTAGAACATACAAAAAGATGTCCTTTCTGCAAATTCCTTGCTGACAGATTTTAGGAGAATGTATAACAAGAAAATACAAAAATCATCACAAAATCCGGAACTTATTTCTGAATCAAAACTGCTAAGAATAAACAAACCATTATCATCACTCACACCAGAGCTTCATATTTTCCCCCAATACTATGTAATCATAAGTCAATTATATTTATCCTTGACTCTATGCGATTTTCATGGTCGAAGCGAGACAACAAATTACGCAAACTGAACTTCAATAATTCCAATCAGGGAAAACAACAAAGAATTTATGCTAAATCAATCAAAACTTTCCATGAAAAATAGAGTCGATCGTCATCGAAAAAGACAAATGAATGGTTAAGTTGTCAACATGTGTTGACATCAGACAGCATTCAGAAATTTAAAATCTAATCCTGTGGAAGTGGAATCATCGAACAAGAAACTGAAGCAATTTGTTCATCCTTCTCACCTACTTGATTCAAAACGTTCTCTTAGTCTGTTCAATTTCTCTTCAAATGCTTCAAGTTCCTGCAACTCCATATTTTTCGAGTTTTCATTCTCCCACCGAAATTCCGTCGTTGCCTCATCATTTTCACTTGTTTCTTCAACCACAAGATTGTGGGCAGTCGGGTTCGACTCAATTGAAAAGGAATCATCAAGAAATTGGTACCGGTTTAGAATGGATTCCACCGAGGGTTCGCCAAAAGTGAAAAATTTGTTCCCTGGAGATTGGATGAGAATTGCAACATTTGCGCCGCACAATAGGCTCGTTTCCGCGGCCTTTTTGAAAAGACCTGTTCGCCTCTTGGAGAAGGTAACTTGTAGACTGTTTCTATTGTCGATTTTTTGGATTTCGATCTTTCGCCGACCATTTGTTTTCTTCTCCAGATTGTTGTTAGACGTTTTCATGGCTGAAAAGGGAGAGAAAATCTTGATCGATGCGTTGTTACTTTGAAGTTTGAAGACGAGAAAGAGTTCAATAGAGATTCACCGTGTATTTTCGGAGGGAGAGATGGGTGCTAAGTATGAATTTTAACGGTAATAATTTTAGATGTAAGAATGATTTGGTGCTGATTCTGAAAATCATAATCTTAACGGTAATATTGCTAAGATGCTGATTTTGAAAATTGTAACGGTAATAATTTTAGAAGTAATAATATCGCTATCTTTTTATTGTGCCCTAATTTCCTCTATTATTTATTTATTTAGAATTAGAATATTTAGCGAGAACTTGAGAAACAAAAAAAAATACATAAATAACTTGTAGACTTCGTTATTGGTTTGTTAGTAAACGGTAATTATGGTTTATATATATTTCCTTTGCGTCGTTAAGGAGAGTGATTGAGAGACTGGGATTAAGGTATCATATCTTCTTCCCTGTTATTCCATTTACGTATTTATTTTTATTTTTTTTAAGTAATTAAAAATTAAAAATATTGAAATAAAACAAAGATTAAGAGTTGTGGCAGGTACCATGTTAACATCTCTATCCTCAAGGTGAGCTAAAATCAACTTAAATTGCGTTTAAGTAAATTATTATTATTAATAAATTGTTGTTTTTCTTATTTATAAGTAGAAAATAATAATAGAAAAGGTGATCACTGATCCATTACAATTTTTGTAGGTTGCATTACAAAAATGGGAAATGTGAGATGATAGATGAAAATAATTTTTGAAAAGGTTAGGACTGTGTATAAACAAAATAACTAGTAGAAATGAATAGCATTTTGAAAAACGTATTTAACTTTAATTACTTTTTTTTTTTAATAGTTAAAGCCATTGAAGACCCCTATGAGTTAATTTTAATTAAAGACAGCAACGACTTTTTTTTTTTTTTTTGCAGGCAAACAACATACATAAATTTCAAAGAAAAAAGTTTAATAACCTTTACGCGATGTGAACAATGGCAGATCATAGTTATGGGGACACACTACATTGTTGTGAAGATCTTTCTCGTCCATCACATTGGCTTATTATTTTTGTTTGCTAGATTCATATACCTCATACAATGCCTGTGCATAGCTAAGCTGGGAAAAAGACAAACAAAAGAAATTATCAGAAATCTAAGGAATAATGCAGTATAAATTATCACTATAAAAAAAGGGGCATTTTTTGAAATTGATTTTTACAGTGACTTCCTTAACTTGTACAAAAAATTTCATGTATCTTGCATATATTTCTTGACTCACCAAACAGTTAATTCTGGCAGTCTTAAGAAATGCACGATGATCATTAGTTAGGAACTGAGCCATGATAGTAGAGAAAATAATCCATCATATATAAAAATAAAATAAACAAATAAAAAAGATTATAATGCAGATAGGAAAATAAGTAGAATCTGCACATCTTTTATCCTAAAAGGACTAAAATTAAGATATGAAGAATCAATTAATCGCAGAGAAATGTGATTTTTCAAATACAAACACTGGAATCATATAATTATACTTATAACTGTATCAATGAAAAGCCCTTGCGAGTTGCGATAATATTTAAGCTTATCTTAGTCTGCCCTTCATATAATTATGCTAAACATGTTAGTAAATCTCTTAGACAATGAGAAACTAAATTACCTTCTTTAAGTAACTTGAACCCTCATAAGAGAATAGCCTCACTGCGTTCTGGTAGGTCACACCAGCAAGTTCTTCTATAGTCATTTCAAGTAAATTTGCCATGTAGGCAAGTACATGATGAATATTAGCTGGATGGTTGAGGTTTTCTTCAGGCGGTTCTGATGCACCACTTTCATCATGGCATGTATTATCAGAGGTGCCCTCCTTTTTTGTCAGCGAATTTTCCCCACAATCAAGAAGCTCTTCAGCAACAGAAACTTCCCTATCAATCAAGAAGAGTGAATCTGAATCACTTGCTTTTGGTAGAGCATCTGGTGCATCTGTCTCCAACAAAATCCTTACAGGAGGAATGGATTTCAACATTTTCTTTGCCTTGCTCTCTTTCATGGACATGAGAAACCCAGAAAAGAAGAAGTAAGCACCAGCTTTTGAAAGCTCGGGAACCATCTCTGCAGAACCCATATAAGAATGCAGAACCAAGCCAGCAGGAAATGGCCCCATAGATTTCATTATCTCAAGAAGATCGCCAAAAGCGCGGACACAATGGACAAATGCTGGTCATTTGAACTCTTTGGCAAGTTGAAGCTGTTCTCGGGAAATTTCGACTTGAGCAGTAAAATCAATTTTCCTTCCAATAGAACTGATACATGATGGCATTAATAATTATCCACAATGGCCAATGAGGTGAGAACCACTTGATATGCACTCCACGTAGAGCACCACATGATAGGCCATCTACCCCTACAGACTGTCTACCACCATGAGGCCCTTTACGTTTACATATGCCGTCTACCACTATGAGGCTGCCTACCATCACGAGGCCCTCTACATTCACATAGGCCGTCTACCACCATGAGGCCGCCGACCCCCAAGAGGCACTCTACGTTCACATAGACTGTCTATCACTATGAGGCCGTTGAGCACCATGAGGCTGTCCACCCCTATGAGGCCGCCTACCACCATGAGACCCTCTACGTTCACATGCTGTCTACCAGTATGAAGCCGCCTACCACCATGAGGCCCTCTACGTTCATATAGACCGTCTACCACTATGAGGTCGTCAACCCCCATGAGGTCGCCTACCACCTTGATGCCCTCTACGTTTACATAGGTCGTCTACCACTATGAGGCCAACGCTACACTTAACCATACAAATGGCAATGAGCTAGACGAAAACTGTTCAACGGCAAACGTGGGTACAACCAACCGCTTGAGGAGTGGGGGTCATCCCATCATAACGTGGGAGAAGAGGGATTTACGTGGGACATGTGGCACCATTAACTGTTGAACGAGTGTGTTGCATCATGTGCTTATAAATACCCCTAAGGTGAGAAATGTATGGCTCTTCTTGAAACCCGAATTATTTGAATTCCAATATATTCTCTTCCTACTCTCTTAAACCGAATATTAATTCTCACGCCGGAGGTACAATGGGGGAGAAAGCCCCGACCTCATTTTGCAGGTAGCAAACACTGATCGAAGCAGCTGGAACACCATTCTCGTCAAGGAGAACACAGAGGTCTATCTCACTATAATTTCAAGAACCTTTGTCCAGACCAATCTCTCCAATTGCAGCTGAGGGAATAACCTCAAAGAACTTCTTCAAAGTGTTTAGCCAATTGTCAGTTCTATCAGAGACATACCAGGGATGGAGCCCAAAGTTTGGAACAACACTAGGATAGGTATCACTCATCTCCTTGACCAGATGCCAGTCTTTTTCAGAGTCTCCATTTATAGCAAAATGGATAACACCGGTATCAAGGGAGTTTCCAATTAGTATGGGGGCAACTTTAAAAATTCTTGGACCTTGAAGGTGACAATGAGAATCAAAGAGCTTAATCATTATATGAATGAGATGCTAAACCGGCTCAGAGCTGATGGTCTTCAGAAGATTTTCTCTCCAGTCCCTACAGAAGAAGGAACGGCACCCAGCAACGGTGGTGCGACTGCAACGACTTTATTATTTGTCTGAAAGTTTTGAAAGCGGGTGTGATGCTATCCTTTACATGCTCTGGAAGATGGTGTCACGTTGGATCACACGTATTTGGGTTGAATTGGGATATTGTGTCCAAAATTGTCCATAGTGACCCATGTTTGGGTTGACTTGGGAGTACCATTCCATTACTCAAATTCAATTGAAGGATGAATAAACCTAGTTATAATTTGGGCGTTTGAGGTTTGTGAAGGTAGCTATTGTGTGTTACTTTCAGAATTTATTTTCTCTATATTTTTTTTTTGTTTTTAATTAACTAAGCAGATTTTAAGCTTAAATTATTCTACGTCACTCGGGATTTTGGTGACATGACACAACTAACGTCTAACCCATGTCACATGTGAAATTTCGTCTCTCATGTCTCAAGTTCATTAACTTTTCAATAAACGAATGATAGAGTGACACATGTGAGATAGATTTTTATAAATTCACTTGCAAGTCGAAAACATTTTAAAGTTTGAAGACAAGTGGGGACACAGTGCGTCACTTGGGGTATTTTACCCGTCCATTTAAGCCACAAGCAAAACAAAATGCTTGTATTCTTTGATATTGGAGTAAAAGATCAATTATAATTTCTAAAGTTTCAACAAAAATCCTAATGCCACATTTTAAAAGTCTGGTTATATCTATTCTTACTTGAAAATGAATACAAGGTCCACCCATGTCAACAGCTTCCACAGACTCGATTGTCTCATTCCTCTGTTTTGCACAGACTTCACTATCTAGAACCAAAGGAACATTGCTTACTTTAACTGAGAAAGAACAATGGTTAAAATTATTAGTTTGCCAAATCCCAAAGACGAGTCCCCTATTTGGTTGGATTAAAATTAGATTTTTAGTAAATTTTGATAAAAGTTGATAAAATATGTTGTTGAAAAGTTAATAAAAGTTGTGGGTCTAGCAAAATATGTGAATAAAATTGAGTTTCGAGAAAAATGAATTGTGAGAAATGGGGGCTAATAGGGCTAACTAACACAACCATGGCCCTCGTTGAACACAAAAATATCGAATCTTTCCTTTTGCTCCACAATAATTTGATTTTGTGTACGCCAAATCAAAAGAAGCATGAAGGATTGACTCTCCTTGTTTATAGTACGGCCACCTATAATTTTCCAACCAAGCATCGATCAAGCTGTGAGATGCCCTTATCATCAATTATGTACTAAAGTGAGAGAGTTGGGTGGGATTCATTGTGTAAGAGAAGGCAATTGGCATCCAAAGAAAAAGTTGATAGCCCGAGAAAAAACCGTGGTCGACCACCAAATGATCACCGGCAAAGACACCTAAGGTGACTTGAACTCTACATCAAACCTCAGAGGCTTAGAGGGAGGCGAATGAACACCAAAACCCTTTTTCCTCTATAATTATATTTTATAATAAATAAATGTGAAAATACAAGGGAAATAAATAAATTTGTCTTATTACTCTCTAAAAAATCCAGTGGAAGCAACTATAGAGTAAAGCCACTACGACTCATTAGTAGGTTTGGGTGTTGGGTTGTTCAATGTATTTTAATACTCGAATCACCAACTGCACTTCCGTTTTTTTGTAAACGAAACCATTCAAATCTACTTATTATTGAAATCAAACCCTGAACTTATATCCATAACATTTTTAAAAAATAAATAAATTGTGAGCTAATAAATTATCTTCGAAATATCTCGTAGAAATAGAAAAAATAAAATTTAGGGAGAATAGTAGTTGGGGTTCTTAACCTTTCAAAACTTGGTAGAATATACTCAAGCTTTTTGGCAGCTGAGATCCCAAATCTTTAATAATCATTGCAGATGGACGACACATGGATGGAATTCATATGTCCGTCAATTGACAAATTTTGACTAATCTTGACTAATTTTAAAAGGAAAAGTATGTATTTTATAATTACCATATAAATATAATTAGCCCCTATTTGAGCCACATTAAAAACATCATTCTCATTCTTCTACTTATTTTCAACCACACATTTTTCAATAAAATAATACTTTCCATTACATCAATAACTTTTCCTTCTTTTTCAGCCGCACATTCTCCATCAATCTACTATTCCAAAATACATTTTTCCAAAATAATGTGGCTCAAACACACCCTTAAAATGAGAAAAGAAATAAAAGATATTTGACGCACCCCACCCCAAAAACCAAACCCCCAATAAAGCAGCCACAATCATCGCCACCGTTATTGCCACGGTGCCACCCGTCGGCCACCGTCAAATGCATCTCTAATCTCCAACAATGGCATTCTTCATCAAAATCATCTCATTTGCTTCTTCATCAAATTCCCATTTTATGTTAACATTGTAAGGTTTCCAGTTTGCCCTTCAATTAAATGGTCAAAATGAGTAAAAAATTGAATTTCTTGGCCAACTGATGGATGGATGGATTAATCAAATAAGGAGTTGGTGATGGATTAATGCCATCATGCTTCAGATTTAGTTTATATATGTAGTTTTCTAACCTATAAATAGCATATGAATAATTAAAAATGAGACATGGTGCTATTGTTATGGGAACGAACTGTTGCAAAATTGAAATTATAGAACTTCTATTTTTTGTGTTATTTTCGTTCTAAATTATGGCAGATGAATTTATATGCCGAATTCTAGGTCAAATGGGCTTCCTGTAGAAGTCTTTGTTGGATTATGTGATGTGGTGATTAAATCCTATGTACACCTTTGAGACTCTTCATTTCTCAGGTTTATAATCTTAGCAGTCAATAAGCTACTAAAACTTCGACTGTCTTAGTGTTAGCTCATGGTCACTATATGTGTGTGTGTGTGAGAGAGAGAGAGAGATTAGGTTAATAATTTAGCATGTGGTTGTTTTAGCCTACTCCAAAGGTCATCCATCTTAATTGCAGGATGTGAGTTCATTATACATCATTCATACTTGGTAATGATTTTGTCACAGTGGGTGATTGTTGAGGTGCAAATGCAATAAAATTCAGAAGTTTGGTAGCATGAATGCCTTCTTGTATATACAATATCATTTTGTGTCTTACGAGTTGTGGTAACATTTTTATATGCACACTCTTCTAGGCACATTGTGGGATGGTAAGTCAGCATTTGAACGACTTCGAATCACAAGAATCTCTCATTGATGTTTCTTTCATTGTCATGTCTTGAATCTAGTTTGGTATCAGATTATTTTTTGACTTAGGAGGTAGGCCTATTCAAATATGAACTCATGTCAAGAGATGATGTTTGGTTGTGCTTAAAAATAATATTTTAATTTGAGTAATGTTATTTGTTAGGTTTTAGATGTTTTGTAATTGGCAATTCTGTAAACAAAAAGGACTGAATTGTACTATATTTAAAAATTCAAGGAGTAATGTGCAAATAGTTGAAAATATGGTTATTAGGTCTAGGGTTCGAAATTGGCAAAAGAAGGAAAACGACGCGGATTTTCGCTAGACTGTCGCCAAGATTTGGCTCAAGTTGCAAAAATAGAAACATTGTCGCTGGACTGTCGCCCCTCCTTTGCTCGAGCCACATGTTGTCGCTCGACTATCGCTGAGCCCTCGCTCGAGGGACAGGTTTATTCGAGAAATTTTTATTTTGCGATTTAAAGGTTTTTTACCCTACCCATTCATTTCCTAACCTACCTATATGTACCATAACACATCTGTGTGAAAATTGTGAGGTTGAACATTGAGAGAGCTTTATCTGTGAGAGATTCATTCTACTTGATCTTTCAACATTCATCTGCTTTGATTGTTTTGGTGAGAAAAACATTGTTTCTATAATCCAAATACCAAATTGCATTTTATCTACATCTAGTCAGAGTTCTGAAGATCGAGGAAATTTGACTGCAGTTCCAGTCTGTGAAGAACAATGTGTTCTTCATTGATCCACGGGAAATAGATGATTCCACAAGGCTAGGAGTACTGCAGGGTAGCAGATTCCACTGAGAACTTTGGCAACAGTAGTTAAGGATTGGTGCAGGGGAGCACGGGATCCAGGTAGAGTTGTAAGGAGTACAGTCGAGAGATCCGATAGTACGGGTCGTCTAGTCTGATAGACTGTAAGTTGTTTGAATTGTTTATAGTGGATTGTCGGCAAAGTGCCCGGAGTTTTTTCCAGTTGGATTTCTCCGTGATCATCCTGGTGTTGATTTACTGCTTTTGTTATTGGTTATTGATTGATCATATAAATTACGATATTCAAACTTAGGACTAAAATAACTTGCATGATTAATCATCTAGAAAATAATTAAAAAGTGACTTGTTACTATTTAATTCGTAAAATATTTTCAATTCTACATAATATACCTATTCACCCATTCTAGGTATTGTTAAGGTCTAACTACTTAACTTTCAATTGGTATCAGAGCCTTAATTCAATTTCTGACCCTTTATTCATCTAGATGACTCAATCATTGTCTGTATCTCCGTTTTTTGACGGAAGCAACTATGCCTACTGGAAAGTTCGAATGAGAGTTACTTAAATCTTTGGATGAACGTATTTGGAATAACGTTTAAAATGGGTGGACTCCACCTTCAACAACTATTGCTTGTGTAGTCACATCCACTGACATCTTTATGGAGTAAAATTAACATAGATGAATGCAACTGGAACGGTAAAGCATTACATGCTCTTTTGATGGCTGTATCTGTTGAAAAGTTCAGGCGAGTGTCGATGTGTGAAACTGCAAAAAAGTTTGGGATATACTAGAAACCACACACGAGGGTACCAAAACTGTTAAGTTTGAAGAGATTAAAATGAAGGACGATGAATCATTCGATGAATTCTATGATAAGCTAAATGATATAGTTAACTCTACCTTTAACTTAGGTGAAAGGATCACTGAGACCAAAATCATTAGAAAAGTCCTTAGATCCCTGCCCGAGAGGTTTAGAACTAAGATTACTGCGATAGGAGAGAGTAAGGACTTAGATGTGGTTAAGATTGAAAAACTCGTAGAATCACTTCAAACTTATGAACTCACTATCTCTCAACCTAAAAAGGTTAAATCCATCTCATGAACACCATTAGAGAAGAGGAGAGTGAGTCCACCGATACTGAGACCCTTAGGGACGACGAAATTGCTTATTTCATTAAAAATTTCAGAAGGCGATAAGGAATAGAAGAATTCCTCAGGAGTTAAAAAGTAAGGTCCCTAGTAAACTCTCAAGAGGTAAACGTGAGAAAAATACCTCTAGGACTCCCGTTAAGAAATCTCAATCTGTCCAATGCCATGAGTGCAAGGGTTACAGTCACTATAGGAATGAATGTCCTAACTTGAAAAAGAGTTCTAATATTGGTGGACGTAAAGCTTTAGCAGTGACTTTAAGTGATAATAAATCAAATTTTAGTGCTCAGAGTGATACGTCTGGTGAAGAAGATAATCAAAATTTCATGACCTTCACATCTATAGCTACTATATAATCTGATAAAGAAGTTGAGAAGGTTTGGGTTAAGAAGATTGATTTATCTAGGTCTGATGATCAGATGAACTGTTATATTGCCCACGTTTCACTTGAGGCTCAAAATGTTTCTATGTGGTACCTTAATAGTGCTTGTTCTAGACATGTGTGGTGACAAGGCCTTGTTCTCTTCTCTAGTTATTGGAATGGCGGCGTTGTGACTTTAGGAGATGGGGCTACTGCACCTATACTTGGTAAATGAGTTTTTACTATATCTAGACTTTCTGCTATCTCATATGTGCTTTATGTGAAAGGGTTAAAGTCAAACTTGTCAAGCATTAGTCAAATATGTGATGTTGATTTCGAGGTTAGTTTTGTTCAAAAAATGTGTACTGTATATGATTCTACTGGTAATGTTATCCTCGAAGGTGTAAGAACTTCTGATAATTGTTATGGAGTCCTTCCTAATTCCCACTATGTGTGCAGTAGTGCCAAGATTGATGAAACTGAACTGTGGTATCAATGACTTGGCCATATGAATTATAAAGTTTGTCTAAACTCGCAAAGAAAGAACTTGTAAATGACTTACCTAAACTTGAAAATACTGATACCACAGTATGTGGCCTATGTCAACAAGGTAAACAGATCAGAGTTCCTCAAAAAATACTTCTAAGATTTTGACAAGCATGCAACTTGAATTACTCCATATGGACTTAATGGACCATCTAGGACCGAAAGTCTTGGTGGTAAATGGTATATATTGGTTGTATTTGACGACTTCTCTCGATACACATGGATTGAGTTGTTGAGAGATAAAACTGAGGTGTTTGGCCTAATCATCGTATTGTGCAAAATGCTTAGAAATGAGAAAGAGTTTACCATATCACGAATTCGTAGTGAGCGTCGAAAAGAGTTTGAAAACTCTAATCTTGAGAACTTCTGCTTGGAAGAGAGAATCCAACATGAGTTCTCCTCCCCGATCACTCCACAACAGAATGAGGTAGTTGAGAGAAAAAATCGCGTGCTTCAAGAAATGACAAGAGCCATGCTTCATGATAAGGATTTTGATATGCATTTCTGGGGGGAAGCCATCAACACTACATGTCACATTGTTAACAGGGTTTATCTAAGACCTAAAAATGATATGACACCATATGAGATCTGGAAAGGTAAATGGCCAACTATCAAGTACTTTTGTGTGTTTGACAGCAAGTGCTACATACTAAGAGATAGAGAAAATTTGGGCAAGTTTGATTCTAAGAGTGATGAGAGAATTTTTCTAGGTTATTCCAGAAATAGTCGAGCCTATTGTGTGTACAACTCTCGTACACAAGTTGTGATGGAGTCCATCAATGTAGTGGTGGATGATGTATGTAGTGAGGGGGAGACTGGAAGCAATGTGTTAGAGATGGAACACCTAAGTGTTGATCCTGTCATGAAAGTTGAACCTAAAGAGACCCTCGTTCACGATCCCCCACGTGCTTCCAGTGGTCTAGATAGTCCAACAAAGGAATCTTTATCTAATGATAAACCTAAACCTCTA